TGGGGAGGGTATGTGTTATGGTGAGTGCTGTGAATTGTGTAAGACTGATGAATCACAGACCTGTACCCCTGAAACAAATAATACATTATATGTTAATAAAAATAAAAAAATAAATAAAATCTAAGGCAAAAAACATACTGAATTATAAATAAGTTTTATAATTAAACAAATCTCATAAAAACTGATGAAAACATCTTTTCTACATACCAAAAGAGTAAATATTAAGTAGAATGATATACACACATAGCTTTATCTTGCTTACATACCTGCTGCTCAATACTTCTGGGGGACAGCTCTCATAGTGGGACCCATGCTAAATCCTGTGTTCTCCATATTCTCTCTGAACAAGACTGAAAAGCCAGGGCAGGGCTCTCTTCCATCCCCTCTTGCATGCCCATGCCCCTGCACGCGCGCACACACACACACACACACACACACACACGCTGTACGATTACTTCTGCCTAAGATCAAGGTTAGTGGATTAAGTCCTGCACATGAGATTTAATTCTATTGCTTCCTTTCTGAGGGTGCAGAACACCATTTTGAAGACTTACCCAGAGAGGCTGCATGCAGGAGGCAGTTTCCATCCCCAGTAGTTGCCAAAGGAAGCAGCCTCTGGCAGGTAGGGTCCACACTCACCCACCAGTTCAAACGCCCTACGGAAACAGAAGGAAAAGGAGAGGAGCAGATTATCCATAAAGCCCTTCCCACTTCCCTAGCTCTAAAACAGACTCCAAACTTGCCTCCTCTAGGAAGCCTACCCAAAATACTGTTATTCCTTATACCTTCTTCACTTATACCTAGTCGATCAGAACCTGGAGAGCACGATTGGTGAGATCAGCAGTTCTTACATGGGGACCACTGATCTAACCAATATCCAAGGGGACATTTGGCAATATCTAGACCTATGTTTGGTTGTCTAGTGGGGGGATGCCACTGGCATCTAGTGGGTAGAGGCCAGAGAGATTGATAAACATAATATAATGTACCAGGCAGCTCACACAACAAAGAATTATCTGGACCTAAATGTCAACTGTGCTGAGATTGAGCAACTCTGGGTTAGATGATGGGGTCAAGGTCATAGGTTGAAATCTGTGTTGGCTACTTGGTCTGGCTCTGATTCCTTCACTTTGCTCAGGAGACCAGTAAACATCGTAACAATGAAGCTCAGCACAAATCCATCATCAGTAAAAGAAAAACAACCCAAAGCATGTATTCATGTCACGAAAGTATCATCTGCATATATGACAGCATGTCAGCTTGTATGTGGTATGACTTTAAACATGAGCAACAAGACAAAGCACATGAAACACCTTAGGAATTGAGTCTCAATTCTGTACAGTCATCCCACAATTGCTGATCCATTATTCACACGAGGAAAATATTTCATGAATCATGCTTAAAAGTTTTCTTGAATTACTGAAATTCGACAGAAAGAAAACTGGCCTATAATCTCACTAGCCAGATAACTTATTAACTTTTTAAAAAACTATAAATAGGTGCACACAGTTACTATAGAAGGGTACAAATGAAAAATGAAAGCTTCTTTCCCATGCCCCCACCTCCCAGCCCCCAGTCTTTCTTCTAAGTAAGTTTAATACCTGACTAGATTTCCCAGAATTCCCAGCAGACTCGCATACCATATTAACTAATTTTAACAGTAATTTAAGACAAACACAACTTTAAAGGTAAATAAATCTTCAGGGAAAGGCTCATATAAACAAATGGGACTTTTAAATTAATCACCATTGTACATCATCTATACTATTGGTTCTCTCTGGTCACAAGGGTGTTCCAGAGCCAATTATAACTTACTTGTATTTTTTTTGCCCCATGTATGGATTTTTAGGTATTGATTCCTGGGCCTTTCATGTGTATATCTGGTTTCCCTTCCATCAAACAGGAAATTTCCAGGGGAAAGTGTCTAATTTGTGTCCCGAAAAGAAGCACCTAGCTCAGTACATGTTGATCTGACTGACTCTTGACTTTGCAGTCAGCTCCCACATTTAGACAGGAAGCTACTGGTCAAGGCCAGCCCCTCCACGTGGCTGCCTGCAGGTGAAGAGCAGACGGAAGAGCCCAGGAAAAGAAGCACTCACTGACCTGCCTGTTCCAAGGCAACCAGCATGGACTGCTCAATAAGGTCTCTCTCTATGAAGCTGCGGAAGTCTTCGTTGTACACAGTGAGATCTGGAAGCTGGAAGGCACAGATGGGCATTTCCAGGGGGTGCTCACTGCTCCCCCCACCCCCACCATTGGAGGAGACATGGGACCGGGCCAGGGAAACAATGCTGGAGCTGGCGTGGGAGATGCCCCTAGACAGGCGTTTTTCTGCAATGAGAAACGGAGTTACCTTAGAACATACACAGCCCAGAGAACGTTCCATTCCACTCATGTGGTGATGGTTACCTCTTGACATGGGTTACCTCTTCCAGGCAGGGAAAAACTGAGAGTCTCACTAGCTACCAAATTTCCCAACCTTCTTTCTCAATCCAAATACAGGTGGAGAAATACAGAAAGTAGTATTTTTTTTTTCTTTTTTTCCCCTTCTCTTTAAAGATCTCATTTATTTATCTCACAGAGAGAGACACAGCGAGAGCAGGAACACAAGCAGGGGGAGTGGGAGAGGGAGAAGCAGGCTTCCTGCCGAGCAGGGAGCCCGATGTGGGACT